CCCATTTTTTAATTGGATTGTTTGTCTTTTTTTGTTGAAGTGATGGAGTTTTCTGTAAATTTTAGATATAAGTCTCTTGTCAGGTATGTTGTTGCCAAATATTTTTTTCCAATCTGTAGGTTCTCTTTTCACTCCTTGATCCAAAAATATTTTTTCAGTAGAAGCAATGTTCACAAATGAAAAGTCACAGCAGGAAATGCTATAATCAGTTAAATTTGAAGTGGACAAAAACTAACTCATGAATCAAATTTATGTTGTTAAATATAAATTTTAGAAGAATTGATCATATTAAAATAATCTTGGGAGAAAAAAAAAGTCCTAGAAGAACACAATTGGTAGCAGAGTGTCTGCTCTGTACAGAAAATCGACCAAGGAGTTATATTGACTTAGCTTGATTCCAGAAAATGCTTTAATTGTAAAAATATGTATAACACAACATTTGCCAATTCAACATTCCAGAAAATAAATGCTAGTATAGTTCTCAAGAAAACATTTATATTCAATCTTTGGGGCCATTATAATGGGGTCATAATGTTTTCTATATGAAAATATGGGCTCATTGTGAGTAATAAATGAAAATCTCCAAAAGGATTGCAAAATAACCAACTTTTTCTGTTCTTTTTCCATTCTGGGTTAAGGATCTTGAAGCAGCGTATCACATCACAGATATCCACGATGCTTTGGCATTATCTGAGGTGGGAAATAATAGGAAGATGTTCTTGTTTGGAACCCAAGTGACTAAGAATGGCTCAGAGATACCCTCCATCATGCAAGATGCTAAAGACCTGATTGCACACTTGGCTGCAGATGTGCAGTGACTAAGACCCAACCCATTGCACAGCAGCTCATGGTCTACATGCCATATGGACTGTTGAGTGTCAAGCTTAAAGCCAAAGGTTTCCACTTTCAAATAAAAAATAAACCATTTCCTATTTTCTCAATGCATGGCGTATATACAAAGGTAATGTCAATTTATTAAGAATATCTATTTAGGTCTTGAACTTAAAAAATGTTTGTAAGACTACATATTTTGGGGGAGATTTAGATTTGTAACCAACAGAACTAAAATGAATATCAGCAAGCATTAATCCCATTTGTTATTTTTAAATGACATGAAATTTTTATTAAAATATTTTAATAAACTTTTTCTTTTCAAGTAAAGATTCAGGTATATTCTGAGTGGATCTGTTTAACATTGCAGGAAAAGAAATATCAGTATAGAGCAATGAGAACAGAAAGAACTACCAAAGCCACATAGAATGTAAGTTAACAGCATTCTGAAAGATTAGAAGAGGCTTCTCTTCTAAGAAGCTGTTATACTAGATCAGAACATTATGGGAATTTGTTCTTTAGCTTCTTGATATTTTTACTTTTATATATAGATGACTTTCTTCTTGGTGTGGCTTGAAAAAAATAATGCAACTAGAAATATTTTATAAGAGCAGTAACTATATTTACCTACCCCCAAACCAGTTACCGTCAAGTGGATTCTGACTCATGTGATCCCATGTGTGTCAGAGCTGAACTGTGCTCTGTAGGGTTTCCAATGGCTGATTTTTCAGAAGTAGATCGCCAGGCTTGTTTTGGTTCTCTTGTGCTGCTCTAACAGAAAATACCACAAGTGGATGTTTTTAAACAAACAAGGATTTATTCTTTTACAGTTCAGGAGGCTGAAGCCTGAGCTCAAAGTGCCAAGCTCTAGGGGCTGGGTGAAGGCCCCTGATAGTTGAAGATGTGTCAACTTGGCTGGACTCCAGTTGTGAGTGGTGGTTCCCATGATGGATCACATGACTGCGTCCTAAGCGGCCGGTCAGTCTAGGGGGAGTTTCCCCAGGGGTGTGGCCTACCTGTAATATTATCCCAGGGACAAACTGGAGGAACGGTATTCCGGACTATATA